TATAAAGCTTGCATTTGGGGAAAAAATGGTGCAAATAAAAACTACAGGGTACTTGTAAATGTATCTCTGCTCTCTTTCAGCTAGCTGCAGATTAGCTGTGTTTACTGTAAAGGTTTCTGCTAAGCATTATTTCTAACATTAAATCACCTGGAAATCAGTATTTTTTTTTAACTTATTTGAATTTTGATAACTAAAGATAATGCACAGCAAAGTTTAAAGACGTTGTCATCCTTTTGCTCCTATGCAAGGGGACATGAGTGAAAGAGTTAAACAGTTTACATTAAGCTGTTGTTTTCTTTAACTAAAATATATCCACAAAGACTAGACTATAAATGATCCAATGCAATTATCTCAGTACATTGGGGCACCGCAGTATCAACCCACGATAATCTTGCAGGAAAATTAAGGTAGGAAAACAAAACTTTTACTTTATCCAATGTAGCTAGATTTGTTTTCCATTTGCTCTGGTTCATTTACCAGTGATTCCATTTTAACCCATCAATTTGGCAGAGCTGTTTGTGTAAGGTTTTTTTCTGTACCAGGTGCTATACTGTATGTAAATGCAAAGGGAAGAATATTATTTAGATCATATTAACAATCAGATGGTGGCAATATTTTTTGCTAGTTACTTCTGATAATTAATTTGCATTTCCAGGTGTGGCTTTCAGTTGCCAAATTTCATCTCATTTCATACTGCTGAATGATGGACTGCAAATGTGATCATCTCAGAGTTGAATAGGTCTTTCATTGTTTAGACTAACTCTTGTGTATCTTTATTAATGTTGGGGGGTGGAAGGTTCTTCCCGTAAGTAGACTTTTGCCTATAAATTTGTTTAAAAGCACATGAGGGGGAGGAAAAAAAACAAACTTAAATGCAACATCTTGGCTAAACAGCCAGGGTGGTTGATCAAAAATGACGGACACTTGAAATTGGTCAACACTGGACAATGTGAAAATAAATTCATCTTTTGTCACTGCAGCTACTGTATGCTTTAAACGGCCTTATGTTTGTCATCATTTTGATAAAATGAAATATCTTGCCATTAAAATGATACACTAACTTCTACCGAAAACCAGCAGTTCCCAGGATAAATATGCTAATTAACTTTTAACAAGTCTTGTTTTAGTCTTAAGTAAAATTTCATTCTATTATGTGAAAAAATGCTGTTACGCATATTTTGTGGATATATTTAATTTCCGTTGACAGATAGTTGTCTAGGTACAGACTTGAAAAAATATATATAGTTTACTTGTGGATATTAATTGTTTAATTGCAAAATAAAGATGTGCTTTAGTAATTTAAAGTTTTATTTTTTTTTGCAATTTTCTTGCTATTGTTCACTTGGTTTTGCTATGCTACTATTATACACTTCTGGAGCCAGATAATGTTCACCTTGTGTTTTACTTTTTGGCATCGTATGACGTAAATAGGATGCTATAGTGCTATGGATTGAGCACTAGATAAGAATGCTAAATTCTTAGGAATGAAATTGCTTGGGTACAGAAGAAGCAGGACATATCAGCCAGAATTTTTTACCTGAAAATATATACTGCAGGTTTTGCTCTAATGGAAGAATAACTTTATCTCTTATACAGTGAGTGTTTTAGAGACTGTTTTTACAGAGATTATAGTCTGATCACAAAACTGAGGATGTGAGGAATACTGATATGAACAAAAATTCCAACTGGAAGCTTGTGATGAAATATTTGCTGCCAAAAAGCAAGGGGGTGTTCAAAGCAAAACTAGGAAAAGATGATGAAAGTTAAGACAAAAATCTCAGGAGGAATGAGAGTCAAAGTAAAGAGACCCCCCCATATTTTCATAATTTGACTTATTAATGCAGGGTTTAAAGTGAGAACAGGGTGTTTGGATTTGAAGCAGAAAAAGATATACTACTGGGAAAGCATTCGAGGAGAGAAACAGGTACTTGGTGGGAAGAGATTTGTTTAAACTGGAATAGAGTGGATAGAAGATGAGTCACGGCTACCACAGTTGCATGTGTGTATACTTGGACTGTATCTGAGTGGCAAATATTGAGGAAGGACTCTGATTACATGAAGAGTAGCAGAGGCTGGTGTGAAGTACGAAGAGCAAAAATGGCCAAAAAAATCTTCGTATCATTGAAGCTACAAAAAGGAAACTGGGAATAACAGAGTTCTTGATGGCAACAAGGGAGCTTGTGAGTGACAAGAGTGGAAAGAAACTCAATGTGAAGAAATAATTGAAGATGGGCAGAAAACGTAGGGACACATAATTCTCCAGAATGCTTTGTGTAGTAGGCAAATGTGTAGACTTAATGTCCAGGAGCTACTATTTTTCTGACAGATCTCCACTAAAAAGCATCCTTGTTATGCAAATGATCGGTTACTTGATGTGCACTGAGAATTCATCAGATATCTGAAAGCCTCCAAGATAAACTATTTTTCCCCTTTAATAAGATTCTGTATGTTTTGTGTGGAAACTTTATTATAAGCTCCCACATGTATTTCATGACAGACTACTAGGAGCAAGCCTAGTCCCTGCTCCCCTGATAAAACATACCTAAATTAGCCCATTTTGTGATTTATGTTCCTGGGTAAACAGCCAGGCAGAAACCTGAATTTTGCCTTTCCTATACGCTTGCCTTGCTCCGTCCGTTTGGGGCAAGAGAGTATTGCTCTGTTATCAACCCCGGTATGCTAAAACAACTGATGTTTAAGGTTAAAATCTACGTGTTGCTTTATCAGCAACTGCTGGGCAAGTCGGCAAGTGTTACCAAGATAAGTCAATGTATCGGACACTGAAGCTAATTTTGCCCTAGTAATATGTGCCTCATTATGCCAGTTCCTGTGCATAACCGTGAGTGGCCGGTTATCTCAGCCCGGGCTTCGCTGCTGAGTGCAGGAAACACCGCGCTACCAGTAGCGAAAGTGGTCCCAGTAGCAAGCCAAAGCCTCTGCTTTCCCAGGCTGCTACCACAGGCTGGATTCCCAGTTATCCTGCGATTTTGAGAGAGCCCGGAGCTCGTTGCCCAGCGCAGGGTCACTGCTAGCTGGCACTGTGCCTTGCGAGCAGAGTTTATGTTGCCTGACGTTTGTATTGCCTTTCCTGAGGTTTTCTATTTGGAGGTCTCAAATAGGAGCTGAAACACAAATATTTATGTACTAAAGAAAATACGGTGCAGTGCAGCCCTTTGTAATTGCTGCGGTACCGTCAGCGAGAGGGGCTTCTCCCTGAGGCGGGAGAAACAAACAGGAAAAGGATCAAAGTATACAGAGCAGTGAGACAGACTATACTCGTGTTTTCAAAGGACAGCAGTGCACAAACCGCACTTCGTCGCTATAGTCTTGTTCCAGTTCATAAACAGTGTAGCTTTGCCGCTGGTTCTGCCTTATTCGATCTATTGCTGCCATCATCCCGTCAGGCGCGTTTAACGAGACGATTTTCTTCAGCACGGGTTACGGGCGCGTTTCCCGAGGGCTCCTGTTGGGGACTTGCTGCAGTTTCCTGGCCGAGCTGCTGAGGGGAACTTCCTACCGTGCCTTAGCAAGAACGCCAGGAATTTCGCGGAATGGATCAAAGCCGCCCCGGTGCCCCACCAGGAAGGGCCGGTCTCGGGGGGCATTCCCGCTCCTCCCGCCTCGTCGCTGGGCGGGGTTCGGACCCTCTCCCCTCTCCCCTCCCGTCCCCTCCCGAGCAGCACGTTGACCACGCCGCGTCCGCAGCGGCCCTCCGCTGGGCGATACCACCTGGCTCGGGGCGGGGGAGCCCCTTCTCCACCGCGATCCGCCCCTTTAAAGGGGCGATCGCCGTCCCGGCGGCCTGAAGAAGTGCGCGCTCTACCTCCCGTCTGCCTTTTTTCCTCCCAGCCGGCCTTCTCCTTGGTCTACACTCATACGCCAAGCGGGAGCGAGCAGCAGCGGAAGCCGCCAGGTGAGTAAGTGTGGACGGGAGGAAATAGGCGTCGAGTCGTTGCCTGTTTAAGGGCCTCCCACCTCGCTCCGCCATGTTCGGAGGCCCGCCCCCTCCCGGGGGCTCCCCTCCACCCCTGCCCACCCTTAGGGCCTCGAGGAGCCGCCGCGGGGACGCGCTCCAGCCGCTGCCCGCTGCGCCGCTCTTGCCGCCCGGGCCGCGGGACCTCCCGCTGCCACAGGTGAGCGCCGCGAAGTGCCCGCTGTCTCCGCCACCACGGAGGGGCGGTGGAGCCGCGCCGGTGCCCGAGCGGCCAGGGCCGGAAGGGGGGCCGGGACCCCTGAGGCGAGGCCTCCGGGCAGGTGGGCTGAGGCCGAGGGAGGGGGATCTGCGGCGTGGCAGCCGTTTCGTGCTGGTCGGATAGGGCGGGTGTTCGCCACGGTGTGCTCTCGAGCCGGGCTGCGATGCGGAGAGACCGGCCGGTTGTTGGGACTCGGGGCTGACTCACCGCTGCGCCCTGGTGTTTGCCGCGGCGGGAGGCCGTCTTCCTCGCTCCGGGTGGGGAGCAGCGACACGGGGTAGCCGTGCCCGAACAGCTCTCGCTTGTCCGTGCAAAGCCTCCCTCTGAGGAGCCCGGCGCCAGCTCCCCTGCACGGCCTGAAAGCCAGGTGCTGGGGCGGGAAGAAGGTTCACCTGTAGCTTTCTTTATGGTGAGAGGGATGGAGTTTGTCAGCCAAGAAAACAGCTGGGATCCTTAGGTGCTTTCCAGCCTTGAGTGAACATCACAGCCTCGTTGAGAAGTGTGGCAGTATTGGTATTAATGAAACATTGCAGTCAGTTATATGAGATCTACACAGTCGCTGTTTTTTCCCTAGTGCACTTACAGGTTGTCCTAAAAATCGTCCCACCTATCATCAATAGTTTGAGCTAAGTTTTGTTCAAGGTAGCCAAAGTCTGTGTATGTCTAAAGAAGCGAAACTTCTGTTTGGATCTCTAACTGTTTTTTTTGCCAAAGTTTGGCATTTTAAAAGAGCTTTCAATGTAGGGTATTATTTTCTTCTTCTCTGTGAAAAAGTAACATGTTGTTCTTCCTCTGTGGATTTCATAGCAAAGATGCTGAGCTTTTTCCGCCGAACCCTGGGACGGCGGTCTATGCGCAAGCATGCGGAGAAGGAACGGCTAAGAGAGGCCCAGAGAGCTGCAACCCATATACCTGCAGCTGGGGATGCAAAATCCATCATTACTTGCCGAGTAGCACTGCTGGATGGGACGGATGTCAGCGTGGACTTACCGGTACGAGCAATGCAAGTCTGTGTTTAAATACTTTTGGCTTGTGTCAATCTGATTGTGCCCTTTGCTGTTTACTAGTTGGTTAAAGTCACATCTGTTTGTCATAGCAACTGACCCTGTGACTTGATGTCCACTAAGTTACTGGTTGTAAAAAGGGTTGGAAAGAATAGTTAACTTTTTTTATTCACTGAAACTGGAGAGTGTTTTGTTAGATGTCACTGTGCCTTACACCTTGAATGCTTTCTAATGTTTTAATGTAATTGTTGTGTCAAAGCTTAACTTGGAGAAGGGGTAAGGTTTCAGATGAATTAGATTTTCTTTTCAGTAAGCTATGTATGTATCTTGAGAAGAAAGATAAATCTTTAGGTGTAACTTTGTTGAAGAAGAGGGATGAGCAGAAATACTAGCAGCAACTCTCTGTGTGTGTTTTATTTGTTTTGATTTTATGTCAGGTGGATGCAGTTTTTAGCACTGACTTGACAGGGGAGGGGAAGAGAAAAATTCTACCACTTTCCTCTCCTGAGGGCAGACTGTGTAGCAGGGAACAGCACTGGGATTGAGGTGTTAGCCGCTGTTTTGCATTTCTAAGGCTCCCTTAATATACACGTGTCTGTTCTGATCTGCTTGATTATATACCTGGTTTTGGCAAACAGGATAAACAGTAGCAATAGAAGTGATGGGCTCTGTTTTTCCATTAGCATGTGTTCTATTTGTTAGTGACTTATTCCGAGCTTGCATAGCTGGGTTAGGAAACTGGGGGTCTGCAAGACCTTCTGACTAGTTCTGCAGGATTTTGGCTGCAATAATAATTGCACTGTTACTGAAGCTGCTGGCTGTCAAGAGTGTGTATAGCAGCCATTCTTTAAATGGCTATTTTTTTTCCTTCCTTTCTTATATTAAGCACAATTCTAGAGTCCTATAACATTAGGTAATCTGAGGAAGGATAGGCTTGTTAAGAGTATTGAGTGGTGTTGTTGACATAGTGAGTGGAAATAACTTTTGTGATATTCAGAACCCCAAGTAATATAGGGTTAAAGAAGCAGTTTGGCAACTTTATTTGTGTAATAACTGTATAGATAGGTGTTTATAGAGGGCAGTGAAACTAATTTGTACATCTCTGAAACAATACAATGAACATCCAGTGCTGCTCAGTGCCTAGGATGTTTGATTTGAGGCCAGGAATGCTCGCAAACACTTTATAGCAAGAGTTACACTTAAAAAGTAGTTAAGTTTAAATTGGTCTCCCCATATCCAGAGCAGTAATCTTTGGAGCTGGAGCTGGCTCTGTAGTTAAATTCCTGGCGCCTCTAACAACATTTCTAAGGCTTTGAGGAGCATAAATTGAACCTGAAGAGGTGTCATGACCTGCCATCTGGACTATAAAACTTAAATCAGGGTGCAGAAGGAACTATTTATTTCTACAGGAAACTTTTTTCACTCTTCCTTTTTTTCTTTATAAGCCAGTAAAAAGCCTTGTCTGTGGACATGTAAGTTAGTAACAGTGAACAAGCATGCTAAATCAACATAGCTAGATGTGGTAATTACGGTGCGTTGTCAGTGTACCTGACACATACCAGTTCCTTTGGTGATTAAAATACAATAAATTAAGAGTAGATTAAATGTTTCATTACAAACTCCTTAATGTGTTTGTTCATGTGTCTCCACTTGCGTCGTCCGTATTTTGGGTTTGACTTTTGAAGAGGAAAAGGTGTGTGGGAGAACAAGGGATGAAGTAGTGGGTACAAAATTGTGGCAAAACAACACTGCTTTTCTAAAGTCTAAAGTTAAATTAAATATACATGCATGTATCTGTGGAAAGAGGTTTTGATTGGTTTTTTTCTTGCTTTGCTTTGTTTTGTTTCTGTTTATCTTTTTCTTTTCTTATACAAAACCTTTTCCTGAGAACTGTCATCTGGTGTGTTTGAGCCAAACACCTTTTCCAAGACTGATTCTGTTCTTTGTTGGCAGTAGATTTGGTTTAAAACGAACTCTTATTATCTCAAAGAGGTGCCCTGAGGTCTGCCAGTTCAGTTGTGTATGGTCTGTTGAGATTTTTTTAATTAAAAAAGAATATCTATCTATCTATATATATATAGATAGTAAAAAAAAAAAAAAAACAAACAAAAAAAAAACACCCAGAAAATGTTAAGACTGAATCATTTTGCAAACAGGTTTGTTCGAGGCCAGAGAAAGAGTCTTGGCAGGAGTGAATGCTGAACCTTTTTTAATCCATGGCTACATAAATACTTTTCAGCAGCATAAGTTGTTGCTGCCACAGGAGGAAAAGATGTTGCTTTTGTTACTGAGTTGTCCTTGTGTTCACATACCCCTTGGCGGAAGAAACACTTTCTTGGCAGCCAGGCAGTAAGCAAAGTCAAGAGAATGCTGTGGCTGAAAATAATCGGTATAATTTTGTTATGTTGGTTTCCAGCTGGAGTGATTCTTCAATCTGGTTTTCCATGTGCCTTCACAAATGTGGTGAAGAAACATTTAGAGGCAGTATCAGGCTTGTACTTGTTGAGCTATACCATACAGTGAATTTGCTACTGAAAGAAGAGTGTTCTGGAGTTATGATCATTCATATAATTGAGATTGCTAAATTTCTGCTTGAATAAAAAAACCCCAAATAAATAAATAAAAGGAGGGGGAAAAAAATCTCCAACAAAACCCAAAGGAAACCATGGGGAACATTGCCACACAAGCCAAACATGTTTTCAAGTCTTTAAGCAGCACAGGCTGATGTTTTTATGAATATTGAAAATGAGACAGAAGTGACATGTTGTAAATGATGTAGTTGAGATTTCATTTATTAAACACAGAGCCAGGATTTCAGCAGTAATTCTGCTTTTTGTCCACTGATCTTATCTCTGGTGTCTGTCAAGCCACTTAATCTATCTGCTTTTTTATCTCTTCAGTTTTTTTTATTACAAAATTGCATTACTTGAACTGTCCATCAAAGCTTCAGTTCTATGCAGTACATAGACCTAGACTGAATTCTATTTAAGAAGCTACTTATTTTGCAGCCATGGCAATGACCGAAGAATATCAGTGTTACATATACATTTACTGTCACTTTGGTATATTCAAAATGGAAAGCATGAACTTCATGGGAGTTACCAGTGTTCTTTTGGGACAGATTGAAAAGTGTGGGGTTTTTATGTCCCCACCTTCATCTCAAAGTTGTGTTTTGACCTGTTTGTTTTCCTGGTGTATTACCATTTTTTGAAGCTTTATGTTTGTCGAAATGCATTCAGTGATTTTGACAGACTTGTGCTTAGTGAAACACTGAGGATCTTATTATTCTTTTTATTTATGAAAAGTTTTTGTGAAATATATAGTGTGTTAACTGCTGTGCTGTTGACGTTGTTCATCGTACGCTGCCTTACTCTTAACTAGGGTTCCACTTGGACAAAAGTCAGGTTGTGCTTTTTCTGCTAATTGTTTGAGATCCGTGGGTGGAATGTTTGTTCAGTGGTATGAGCAAGCGAGAGGACAAGAACTCTGTTTTGCTGACATCCCTTATCTTACTTTTAATCCTGTTCCCATGTGAAACTAAACGTCATCTTCCCCCGCTGCAGCCCTGGAATTCCCAAAAGCTGTGAACAGGCCTGGTTTAGTACCTCAAGACTCCCATCAGATCAGTCATACCAGTCTGGGCCCCTGAGGGAAACCCTCATCAGCTGGAATCCTGGCTTTTTATGTGGTCATGGTTTGTGGGGAAAGACAGGATGGGGAGGGCAACACGGCAGTGATTTTTCTTGAAAGCTGTTTTGAATTGGAGTAACCAGTAGCTTATGAAATACCTCTGAACAAAAATGCTTGTTGAAAATGTAAAATGTCGTGCTGTTTCGAGTTCTGGAGGGTTCCAGAGGAATTTTAAGTCAAAGGATCTAAAAATTGAGTGTTGTAGAGTCAGTTCTACGCTACTCATAGCAGTAATTGGTAGAGGGGAAGAATAACCTAGATAAAGGGGAAAATGGTACTATAAATAATGTAAATTAGATTACAGGCATACACTTGGAATACGCACCTTTTTAAAAACTCTGGATAGCTTTCTGTGGAAGAACAAGGTCAGCCGTACAACAACAGCAGATAGTAGGTACAGGGTCTCATAGAAGCAGCAATGTACTTTGTGGAAGCCAGGGGTGTTTCAGTAAAAAAAAAATCCCTGACCCTGCTTAACCCACAATTTACATAATCTTCTCATGGATAATAGAGCGTTAATTGTGTTCCAGTTTCTGTGCGTGCAGCCAAAGTTTTAGCAAAAGCTGCCTAGTGTAAGATGAAAGACACAAATTATGAGAATGGATGCTCTCTGAGTAGCTTTTAATCTTAGAATATTTGTTATTTATGCATGCATGAAGTTTAATATGGAGTTTGCAAAATGAGGTAGTTTTGTCCTTATTATAATGCAGTATCATTAAAACAAGGTTGTGTATAAACCAGTCCAAGAGCTCTGTGGACTACCAGAAACTAGCTTATCTGTTCACAATTTTGGAGTAATGCTTACAAAATAAGATAAAAAAGACTGTGTTTGTAGTGATTATTTTAAATACAGTTAAGAAATATATCTGGAATGCCAAAGACGCTGTCAGCAAACTTGTTAATGAGTGCTGGTGGCTTTTTGTGCAGAGGGCGATATCTGTGTTGATGCGACTACAAGATCAGAGATGTGATAGTTGATTTTACGTAGTAATCTGCTGTGTGTTTGTTTGTTTGCTTTTAAAGCTTGTAAATATGTGGCTGCTTGATGAATACTTGTAGCTGTAAGTATGAAATACATAATGCTGTCTGTGGCACAGATGCTGATTGAAAAGACAATTTAGTAATGCTGAAAGTGTTGGAAAAATCAGTCATTGTGTGAAATGAGTAATCTCTCTGCTATTGGCATGCATTTGACTATTTGCTTAAACTTCCAAAAGACCTTTAGGGGACTGAAACTGGAAAAAATCAATCCAAAGCTGAGTTACAAAGCAGAGGTGCTGTGTGGTGTAGATGGGCAT